GCGGATTTTATCAGCACTTTTTAATGGGAATCAAACCCGGGTAGAGCGGAGTTTATTTTTGACATGTTATTATTACGCCGCACTTTTACAGGCGCCACTGGGTAGTCACAGGGCAGATGTAACTTGCAAGGCATGCCAGGCCTATTCCTTATCACATTTATAGTGGAAATATCCATGAAGCGAACTTGTATTTATTAATAATCGACTATGCTACCTATTTTCATAATGAGTAGGTTTATACGTATGGAAACTGCAATTCTTATTTTTGGTTTTGAGTGGATTTTCGAGATTACTAGTAACTAAAATATATATGATGTGTTCACTCTATTTCATTTTAAATGATGAAGGACGAATAGTTGAATTTTTTCCCAATGATATGAGTAGACATGACGTTTCTATTGAATTTCACATGGCCTTGCTTTCCCAAAAGGTATTCTTATCCTTTTGGGGAAGCAAGGCCATGTGAAATTCAATATAAATGTCATGTCTACTCATCATCGAGGGCAAATTTAACCACCAGTCCTTTATCAGCTAAAACGAAATAGGATGAATACATTTCCGAGTCAAAATATACTGGTAATATCTAAACTTATTCAATATAAATAGAATATGTATTCATATTTTTGGCAGACGACGCAGTTACGGGTGTTTGGGTATCTGTATCGAGGTTTATGACTACCAACACTTTGCTACTTTCAAGCTCTAATGGCCTCGAGGCAGATTCATTCATCTTCCCTTGGAATCCTTCTGGACGCATAGTCAGCTTGGAAACTTACCTTGTGATCTCTACAAGTGGCAAGCCTTTGTCAACAAGAAATTCGATCCACAATGTCTTATAGCTAGTTCCATGATGTCTCATACTAGTCTTTTGAAGCTTCGAGTACGGGGTTGTAAGCAAACGCGAGTTAAACCCTGGATAGGTGGACTTAGAGACGAGTATGTTTCCTCCTATTATTTAATGCAACAAAATGTTAATTACGAATAACTCAGTAGCTTATATACTTAGATGGTACAAATACTCGCTTACAAATCAGTATAAAGCTCCCCATAAAATTACGCAAGTTAGGAGGGCTTTATCCTGCTTTGAAAGTCATGCACTTCGTATGGCACAACGGAGCTAGGATCGGATGTCTTATGTCAATTTGCCTGCCTGTTAGCCCGCATAGCTAGGGTTCGCATCACGCTGAGGGTACAGATAAGTCCTAGGCAATGCCAAAATTTAAGTTCAACCTGGATGCCTTTTACTACATCCAACAGTCACTTAGGCCCATGAGATGTATTCTGAACCAGAAGAAGACTGAATTTGCCCTTGAAAAGTTTAGATATAAAATCATATTACACCAAAGACCGTTTTTTACTAGATGAATTTTAGTGTGCTAAAAAGGCATGGGATATGCTTACTGGCTCAAAGAAGGTTTATATGATTTTATGACATTTCATAGAATGTTACGGCTACAGCCAAAGCTACGTCATTAATCCGTAGACCAGCACGATAAATTCCCTTCTGCGATATTCTTTTCCCATGGGGTAGTGAATTAATACCCTCCATGAGCTGTTAGTCAACACATATCGGAAAAGTAGTAATTTCTTTATGGTTTTCGCTGTTATGATGCTATGCCTATCAACCAATGGGGACGTCCTTTGGAAATGTCACCTACTTAATATACTCTATATGCCCATAGCCAAGTCTTCCTCGTTTACGAGTGCTTCCATTATTTATTTGCCCCAAGCATGCCTAGTTATCAACCTCAGAGTTATCATCTCTTGAATAAGATATAAAAGGCATCCTACAGGAGTTTGAGGACGCCTGGCAGGTAGCCTTGACGTTCTACATATGTGGGAACTATCCAATCTTGAGACGACTAGCATTCTGTTGAAGTCCCCACTTAACTCATTCTTAATGTCTCGGACCAACTTGGACCCATCCGCATCCTTCTGCATGCTGTAAAGTAATGCCGAATATGTATTCCTTCTCTTTGTTGTTATAAACAGCACGATACGTCCTATACCTTTCGATTTTTTATTCTTCATTACAGCTACTACCAGTCTTTTTGTCTGCATTTACCCACATTTTATTGTTGTGCCGGCTACTTGACAACCTCACTGCTTACCTGTCTTAATGTAGGACCGAGTTATTCTCCTACGAGTCAAGACTTGATAAACCGGCCAACCAGAACTTCTCTCTAGCCTTCCACCTGGCCACCAGTGAGTTTGCTGCGCCGCGCCTCCTCGAGCTAACCGACATGCAGCCGGAAGACCTGGATGCCCGTGCGGTCTGTGTCTACTTGATCGAACTGCGGGCAGCCGTGGAACGAGACAGAAAGCGCCGGTCACGTAACACCTTTGATCTGAGGACGCCCGGCATGCTGAATACGGTAGGATGGGGGCATTGAAACCCCAAATATTTCTTGTTATAGACTTGTATTCGTGTAGGCATTGGCAGGCTTGCCCACACTGCGTGACAGTCATTCGAGCCCCCACCATGAGGCTTGATCATGCCTTATGGAATACTGTGAGAGTATCTCTCATCATCACTGTAAATATATTTATTAAAATTTGGGAATGAGAATGAAGACCCCTGCCGAAGGCCAGCCACCGCCAGCCCTTTTTATTCGTGGATAGTTGGTTGTCTTTTAATTGAATTTGCTTTTGCAGTAAAATTGCCAGATTGAACAATTATAATCTAGGAAACACCATTAAGCATTATAGCAGAGTGGCTTCTCTATGTGGAGCCCCAGTGCGCTGGGGACTCCTGTCCATAGAGGGTTAAAGTCCTGTGAAGGTAAGCAGGTTACAGACTATTTTGTTCCCCATGATCCAAATAGCTTTGCGTTTTCTCTTAAACTATGCATATCATTTAAATAAAAAAA